TATTTTTATTACGTTAAGACAAAAATGCAACTTTTTAATATGTCAAAATAGGAGAAAGCTTAAGTAACAGCACATGTAAATAAACTGTTGAACCTAAAATGAACAGTACATTCTTAATCAGAAAAGAAAAATAATACACAAAATTACACATACACATATATTATGTGATTAACAGTATATAATCTTATTTATTGCAACAACTTAAACTGTTATGGCACTTTGAATTGCACAAGAGTCCCTTGCTTTTACAACTGCATTTATTTGTGGAATACTTCTTTTTGCAGAGACCAACATGTATTAAATAAAACAGTTTTTGGTCATAATTGAAATTTAATATCTTAAAATAATATAGCTGTTTGAAAATAACTAGGAAATTCACTAGATAATGTTTCTTAAGAGAATTTGATGCATTCAATTTTGAGTATTCAGTTGGTTTACAATAATGAAAACATCAAGAAAATCACTTTTCTTTATTTATTTGAATATCCAATTTCATTTTGAATACACAAATCAAACTGAATTCAAACAAAAATCAAACTGAATTCATTGGGGTTTTTTATTTGAATCTAAAACTAAACATGAAATGACTTATCAATAAATAATCAACAATAAATAATGTTGTGAGTGCAATTGTCATCCTTCATAGAAAAGATCCAAGGACCTATCAACTTATTTCAAACAAGCAGCTACAAACTTTACAATAATTTGTAATAATTAAAAAGTGAATTTCATATTAATAAAGTAAAATAGAACTTTTATAATCATTATTCTGTAGGTGTTTGTATCATTTTAAAAAAATTCATGATAGTGGTCTGCAGGATTCAAAATTGTGAGTTTAGTGGTCCGTGAGGACAGAAAAGTTGGCTACTGCTGAGATAGATAAAAGTCAAGACCAGATAGGGAAAGCTTAGAGGTAGGAGGCCCTGATTAACTATATACGAAATTTGCTTTATTCAGACACAATAACATGACTCCTTTCAAACACTTGGCAGATTATTCATCTCTTTATTCAGTTATATCCAACTGAATAAAGAGATGAATAATCTGCCAAGTGTTTGAAAGAAGTCACATTATTGTGTCTGAATAAAGCAAATTAAATTAAAACACGATTTCATCGGAATCAAAAAATATATATATGAACTTTCGGTCTGGATTGGAAGTCATGTGAATTCAATTCAAAAATTTTTCCGAGTGGAGTTATTCTGAGTATTTTTCCGAGTAGTAGTGACTCTGTAGATGACTACAGTCATCTACAGAGTCACTACTGTAGATGACTGTAGTGACTCTGTTATCAGGAAAAGTATGCTGTACAGGGGCAAGACACTATAAATTTGAGATGGAGAACATATATTTTAAATTGAATAAATTAAGAATATGATTAAAAATTGCAGTCCAGTATTTTTACATTTAAATTGCTTGTACTGCAATAAATTTGAAGTGTATCATGCCTGTGATCATATTATTATTATTGTTTAAGATACAACTAACAAAATTAAATTAATAATTGATAATACTCATTATGTTAATTGTTTCTTGTCCTTATTGTATACATAGTCTAAAAAATCCAGCAACATTTAAAACTGCATGTAACACCATCTATTATGATATTTTATTAAAAAACATTTTATATTTTTAATTATTATAAAATAGCAAAAAATATGAGTTTTATAAAAAAAAAATTGTAAATGCTAATAACAAATAACATTTTCATTAAGTCCAACCCTTCTTGAGAGATGACACATGACACTCTTCTTAAGATATGACACGACACAACTCTATATCCCAACCCCTCGACCTTTAACCACCAAAATTTAAAGCGTCAGTGCCCTTATATAAAAGCTACTACACCAAATTTTATTTATATCTCAGGATGGATTAATGATGATGAAACAAAATATGGAGATTTGAAAAAAAATAAAAGGGCCAAATTTGACACGATTCCAATACTTTCCCTTGTTATGTATATATTACAGCTGGGAAAGTAAAAAAAAGAAAAAGAAAAACATAAAATATGGTATATCACTTTGAGTAAGAATTTTTTTTATAGCTGATTTTTAATAGTTTTACCAAAAAGTAAAATTGTAAAATATTTTTTAGAATAGTAATCACCAGTTTATGTACTATTAAATGTAATAATCTATATTGGTATTTTTACATGCTTATGTATAAAAAAACTTGCAGATTTCATGAGCAAGAGATAATTTGGAAAATGAATAAAATCATTTTTAAAATTTTTTGTAATTTCTGTAAAATAATTGTAAATTAATTTTTTAGAGAAAGTATTCATAACTTTCTGCTGAAGAGGGGTGGTAGTCCAAAATGCTGAATAACTAGTATACAGATTTGTGTTATTGGTGTAATTGTTACTGTGAATGACCTATATCTGGTAAATGTCGAGATTCTCCAGTGAATGTTATCATTCACACAGTCATTTTGTGTATGTGCGAAATATTTAGCAAATATTTCGCACATACACAAAACAGTATTTCTCACTTACACCAGCAAATGTCGACATTCAGCATGCACTGGTGAATGTTGAATAAAAATATTTTTATTATGTTAAGACAAAAATGCAACTTTTTAATGTCAAAATAGTACCAGTTAAGTAACAGTGTTAAGTAACAGTACATGTAAATAAACTGTTGAACCTATAACAAACAGTACATTCTTAATCAGAAAAAAAAAAAAAATACACAAAATTATACATACACATATATTATGTGATTAACAGTATATAATCTTATTTATTGCAACAACTTAAACTGTTATGGCACTTTGAATTGCACAAGAGTCCCTTGCTTTTACAACTGCATTTATTTGTGGAATACTTCTTTTTGCAATGACAGCGTGTATAGCCTTGCCCTCCACTTTTCGAATTAGCTGCAGCTGCTTCTCAGCGATATTTCTTGAGAAGAAATCTCATCTATGGAAAGTACTTTTCTTACAAATTACGAACTGATTACGGGTATAAAGCTTCTTGAGGGCCCAAGCAAACTCAGCGTCCTAGGCAAATGACTTTAACGTCGCTCCATTAAAAAAAATTCGCAACAATATAAAACACTAATGTAAAATAGAGTATCTACTTTTTATTCAATATGCAGCACACAATATCGCGATTGTGAGACTATGGCGCTACTTTCAAAATGGCGACTCGCGGGTCACCACATGAAAAAGGATTGTGATCAAAAAGAATTAATTTTTTCATTATGTATTGTAATTTATGCATGTACTTTTGCCATGCCGCACCCCCCAAATTCAAGCGTCCTAGGCCATCGCCTAGTTCGCCTATATGAACTAGGTGATGGCCTAGTTCATCGGCCCTGCTTGAGGGTACCATTTTTGTTTGCTAATTTATAAAAGTCGGAGTCTTTTATTCCAACAACAACCGCCAACACATTTCAGGCATCTGTATGGCCACGGTTGACATCAGAGACTTGTATTCTTATGGTATTACCAATTTGAGCAGAAGGAAACAGCAAAGAATTTGACGACAGACTGTCGCCTCTCTGTCGACATCGGCTTCTCGGGTGTCGACCTCCACCAAAGCTTATCTGTGCTTGTCGACATACATCGCCGATTGTTCGAATGTATAATAATATAACCAAATATTCGGTCTTTCACCAACATATTTTGTATGTGTCGACATTCACCAGAGAATATCGACATCCTCTAATTTCAGTCTTTCACAGTAACATAATAAATATCAGAAAAATGACTGTTGTCCTCTAGTTTTTGTGCACGCCTTCTCCTTGATATAACAAATCCTTAAATAAAATAAGGTTCTTGTAAACATTTTTTACAATAATTGATAGTAGTGTCTGGAATTTCATAAAACAATGTTGTTCTATGAGTTTAAAAATACTACATATTATAACTTTATGCAAATTCTCTTTAATCTTGTCTTTCTAACTTCCCATTTCCACAATACAGTAGAGTCCTGCAAACTCAATGTGGACTAAGAAGGTTATAGTTACCAAAAAATGAGAAGTTTTAAGGCATAGCAATGATGCTAGTCTAAACAGTGAAATTTTCATAAAAGTATTATATATGCAAATTCATACACATTAACTATGTACTAATAGCAACTGTTTCTACTTATAGTTAAATTTTAATTGAAAAAATATTGGCTATTCAGTGACTACTTTCGAGTTAGTGGCATTTTGGAATGACAACTTGGAAAAAAGTTATATTTTTTTTAACACATGGAATTAATGTAATTATCAAGAAGAATTACCAGTGAAGAACAAAAACTTATTTGATCCATAGAGGTAGAAATTAGATTATATGTATGTTTTTTCTTTTTTTTGAATGCCAGAACAAGTTTACTGGAATGTCATGTTATTGACAGTAGAGTTGGTACTGTACTAAAATTAATGTAAAGATGAGAATTTAAATACTGAAAATGCTACTGTTATCACAGTTTTTCACAACATACATTATATAGAGATGTTTTATTTTCCATGATAACTAAAGTCAAAATTCTGATAGTAAGCTGCTATTGTTATTGTACAAATAATATTTTAGTTATCTCAATTTTCCCATTATACATTTATATTTATGAATATTAGAATTTAATTTCTGAGTGCCATATCTTTGATCATTTGCTGAAAATAAACCTATTTAAGAATAATCTTTTTAACTATAAATATTTACAAAGCATTTCAAATTATCCCAAATCCAAATTTTATTTATATCTCAGGATGGATTAATGATGATGAAACAAAATATGGAGATTTGAAAAAAAATAAAAGGGCCAAATTTGACACGATTCCAATACTTTCCCTTGTTATGTATATATTACAGCTGGGAAAGTAAAAAAAAGAAAAAGAAAAACATAAAATATGGTATATCACTTTGAGTAAGAATTTTTTTTATA